GTATTAGGGTTGTCTGTTTGTATTAATCAAATCATAAATGTTTTTATAGTTAAGTCATTTTTGGATAAAAAGTATTTGTTCCTTAGGTGTTCTAATTTCCGAAACTATCTTCAACTACGTTTTTTGCTAACCATAGTATACACTATTATTTAATTAAACTTTTTTTTATAAAATAATTTTAGTTTTAAATATTCCTTTAGCTTCATATTACAACTGATAAAGCTGATAATCAGTTTCAAAAGGTTTTCCATTGTTTCCAAAAGACACTGTTGTTTATCTTAAAGGACCCTTGTCTGAAATTATTATGAGATCTAATAGAAATTCTATGGGTTCTATAGAAATCCTGTAAGACCACTAAGATAAACCTAAGGTTCCCATGAAAAAACTTCTATAGAATTTTCTATAAACTTTTGAAACATATGGAATTCATATTAAATTTCTATAGAATTTCTGTTAACTTTTATAAAAATTTCTATAGAAATTTTTTTTTCTACTTTTTTTTTTTTATAGAAAAAAGTTTTATCGCAATTTCTATAGAAACTAATAGACAATCTATAGAAGTTCTCTAGGCCATATGTTTCAAAAGTTTATAGAAAATTCTATAGAACTTTATTTCCTAGGTTCATATATGCATTGTATAGGTTCTATAGAATTCCTATCATACCAAAAGAATATCTATATAAATCCTATAGCAATTTTAGAAGTATCCTATACTTTTTATAGGATTCTTATAATACCAATAAAATTGCTATTTCCTAGTCAAAAAATTGTATTAGATTCTCTAGATCATATAAGATATGCAGGAAGACCATAATACGGCTAAAAAATTAACTCTGTACTCCTATAAGAATCATAAAATTCCTTCAAAATCTATAGGATTACTATAGAAATAAAATGGTATTAGATAAAAATTAACGATATTATGTCTTGTAAGATCCTAAAGAATTTTTTTAAGTCATACATACATTTTTTTTTAATTCTTTAATTTTTTTGCTAAAGAATTGTAAGATTCTGATAGGTATTCTTAAGAATAACCATAATATGATTCTTCCTGCATATACAAGGCTCCAATAGGAATTAATTAATACTTCTAATATATTATTTATGGCATTTGGAACTTTAAATTCTATTAAATCTTTATAGGTCATTTAGAATTTTATCAAATATAATTTTTCAATTTGAATTTCATAAAAAGCATAAAAATAGATTTCTATGCTTATTATTTTTATTAAAATGAAATAACTGAAACTTGCCGTTATATACTCGCACTACAATTTTTTGACGCTAAATAAATATTTTGCCGCCAAAATATGTCTATAACAAAACTAATCACGGCAAAATAGTATAAAGTTTAACTAAAATGCTATACTAAAAAAATTATTAATTTTTGTCATATGCAGTATTTGTAAATCAAATGGTTATCGTGATTATAAGTAATTCAAGTTAAATTTGCAAACAATAATTATAACGCAATAATCTCAACTCGTTTCTCCGCGCAGCGGCCTTGTTTGTCAAGGTTCGTGTTTCGGAGTTATAGAGTTGAGAGAGGGTTATAGCCACAAATAAGTAGCCTCCTCGTCTGTAGTGGCCTTCTCGGCTTTGAGGAGGTGAATAAAAAAAAAAAAAAAAAAAAAAAAAAAAAAAAAAATCGTGCTTTTATATTTATTATTTTATTTTAAATTAATTTTTTTTTTTTATTTAAATTTTTTGTCGTTGCGAATTTAACTTGCTGCAATTAAGAGCCGTTTTCTGAGAAAACGAGGCAATTCTCGAAAGTGATATCCTTTAATGACGCCTAATTTTATATATAGTAATGCTGATAGGGTAAGCAAGAAGCCCCTAAAATATTTTTTATAAATGTTTGTAGTTCTTGAGTTTTGGTCGGTCAAACTTTTGTCTTTTTAACATTAGAAAGCCATTATTTGGAATTTTGTAATTTTAAACGAAATTTAAGAGCAAAAACACAACTGCATCCTAAGTTTCTACTTATATTGTGAAATTATAGTTAGAACTTACAAAAAGAAAAAAAAAACTGTTTCCTTTGTCTAAAGATTGGCTGAAATCACAATTTTTTTAATTTAGGGCCAACTTAAAATGTATTTATTTAAAAGCATAAAAGATGCCCGCAATATATCCTATCCTTTTTAGATAGGGTATCCCTATGTAATTTTAATTTTCAAGAAACTGAAGGGGTATTGTTCACAAAAATACTTATGAGTTGTCAAACAGTCAAAAAATGTGTTATCTAACGTTCAAAAATCAACGGTAATGGGAAATGGATTTAATGTATAAGTTTTTTATTTCTTCACATGTCCATACTTTTAATACAAAACAAATTTTTGGGGATAAAAATACAATACTGTAATTACATTATTGAAATAATGTTACGGCAAACTGATGCTAAATCTGCTCTTTTTTTATTTGTTTACTTCTTATTTCACTGATTATACAATATTATAAGTTTCATAAACTAAATTAAAAAAAAGAAAATAACATCATAAACATAAACACTTTGGTATAAAGTTAAAATTTTTTTTTTTCAATTTATAATATATACTTTTATAATCAGTCAGGTGACTCAAAAAAGGTAAAGACAATAGTTAAGTTTTTTACAAAAAACACTAAGAATATTTTTACTAAGTACCGTTTGTAAGATAATAAATAAAACAAATTTCTATAAGAGAAAACGAAACCAAAATTCAATAACAAAAAGCACTTTTTTATTTGGTGTAAAAAAAGAAGAGTTATTAACAAGGCCAAAAGTAGCAAGGCCAAGGTCAAGGCCAAGGCCACGTGTTGCAAGGCCAAGTCCAAGTCCAAGAGTTTTAAGGTCAGGGCCAAGAGTAAGAATTTCAAGGCTAAGACTTATGCAAAGATTTTCAAGACCAAAGACTTAAAATTTTGTCTTACGTTAAGGTTAATTATTAACAAAACTGTAGGTAGCAAATGCTGTGACAAAACCACATCTTGTAAAAATAGACCAAGGTTATGCGCAGAACTCAACGTCAATAAGAAAAAATACTTGTATATATATATAAAAGCTGAAAACAAAAATACATAAAAATAAAGAATAAAAACCTTTAATTCTTTAATTTTATGAATTTTTTTTCATAAGCCTAAGGGCAAAACAATCAAGGCCAAAATTTTTAAGGCCAAGACCAAAGCCAAGGTCAACAGTTTCGAGGCCAAGACCACGGCTAAGGCATTAATTTTTGGCCTATGGACAAGGCCGAAGTCAAGGCCTCAAAACAAAAGCCAAAACTTTACGGAATAAAGCAAGAACTAACACCTTTAAAAAAAGTAACCAAAAAATTAAAACAACTACAAAACAGAAAACTGGTTTTGAAGGATTTGCGATTTTTTCAATTTCTAAAAAAAATAATATTTGTTTTTAAAAGTTGACTATGTACCAGAATAAAGTAAAACATTTTTCATGATTTATTATCAAGAAACGATCTTGATTTATACAAAACGTCTATTACAGAAGGTATTTTTATTTCAACAAGACCAATATGCATACTAGTCTTGTTGAAACCACGATAAGTTATATATTATAAGTTTTCGTCTGACTATGATAAATTTTAATAAAACATTACACCCACGAACATAGTCTATTTTTCACGTTTAATTTCATTTTATTTATGGTCAGTCTGGGAAATTTTAATAGGAGGCTAAATGATTGTTTTGCTTAATGAGAGATAGCAAATCTAGTTTGTAAACATGTAAACGTAATCAGGGCCATCCTGAAAGAGAGGTGTAGGGGGTGTTCCAACCTCCCCTTCTTTCCCCAAAACTGTCATATAAGTATTTGAGTTGACACATTAAGCAAGTTTTGAACTATAGTTGGCAAATTGTAAATATTGAGGACCTTTTTTTTTGGTGTCTCTAGATGGCAAAAAATATACACCAACACCCTTCCCCCACGAAAAACCTCTTCGGGACAGCCCTGAATGTAATGTTAATATTTTTAACCTGATGTTTATTGAACATAGTTAATTATTTTAAGCATCGTCTCTTTATTTAATGTTATTTAGTATGGTTAGTTAAGTATTTAGTTAATTACTTCTGAATTGTTTAGAACAGAGTATCCGGTCTCAATACTGACGTCTAATCGAGCTAGGTTGCGACATTAAATAGCCATTGTTTTTGACTGTACTAAATTGAACTACGTTCAACTAAGATTAGGTTAAAAAAGTTTACTTGACTACAGTCGTATAAATTAGAAAGAATTTTTGATTTAACACCATTTTGATGAAATATTGCAGTTTGTTTATTAATTTAAGTATTGTTTAACAAATTTGTTAATATTATATATATATATATATATATATATATATATATATATATATATATATATATATATATATATATATATATATACATATATATATATATATATACAGGGCCGGCGCGAGTAGGTGTTACGTGAGGGGGTGCTCTCCATTGCATTTAACAATTGCATAACAATTCTCTACAAAATTTAATAATTTCTCCTTTTTACAACTATTTTTTGTTTTATCAATATTTTGAAAATTCTTTTTGTCTAATGCTGAATGATCTAAAGATTCTGTATGACTTTCTACAACTAAACTTACATCGGCAAAAATTAGGTTAGAACTCTCAGTAGTTTCAGTATTTGTACTTGGGCCAGCAAAATCAATGTTGTTGGTCTCAATTGTATTTATAATACTGATAGTTGTATCTACATTATTTGAATTTAATCTATTATTTTCATTTATAACACACGATGATATATCTGTTGAACATAAGCTTTTACCTGGGACAGCACATACTTTACGTCGCTTTGGTTTTTTAGAACCATCTGAGGGATCATCCAGTGACTTACATAAATGATCTAAAAATAATTGGCTTACTAAATCAGTAGTTGAGTCTAAACCTACATTACAACATGGTAGTTGTGAAAGCACTTGAGACTTGTTTAATGGAAAAATTCCAGTTTTGAGAAAACCAGCTCTAAGGCTATCATTCCCATGTTCATTTTAGTTGGTAATTAAATGGTCTAAAAGTCTAGAAAATTCATCATTAGGAAGAGAAGCAACTCTTCTTCCTTTTCCTTTCTCCTTCCATTCACATAATATTTTGCGCCAGTTAATCTTCATAGGTCTAAAGTAGGCAACATCTAATGGCTGTGTGAGATGTGTAGAGTTTGCTGGTAATGCCACAAATTCTATGTTATTGCTTTGACATGCATCCAGTACTGCAATGCTCAAATGTGAAGATACGTTATCACCTATAATGACACTTCTTCTTTGAGCCTTCTTAAGTCTTGGAAGAAGTAAACATGTTGAATCAAACCAACCACTTTTTGATCTGTTACAACGTGCTTTTGGTGGCCCATATTCCATCCATGTATTCCATAACGACTCAGCTTTGTAAACAACATAAGGTGGTAGCAATTCACCATTAGTATTAACGCAAATCATTATAGAGAATGAGGTCTTTGTAGAATTAATGATGCGTTCAGGATACTTACATCCACGCTTTGTTAATATTTTTTTTACCTGGATCATCACTGAGATTGGTTTCATCATAGTTCCATATATTATCAGGTGATATATTACTTATTTCATTTGATAGATTTATAAAGTAGTTATCAATCACAGTCGCTCCTATTTCTGCTCTCGTTCCTATTTCTGCTTTATGTTGCTTGCAAATCTTACTGTGAGTTCTGGATTTCTTTTTAAAAAAGATCGAATCCAATCACCACCTGGAAAATTATTTTTGAACTGAGGTATAATGACACTTTTTTTCTCTAAATACCCCTTTACTATGCATCTTAAATCATATTTATCAACAGGATAACCAAACTCAGATGATATTATTGCATATGCCTTAAACATGTCTTCTTCTTTTGATGTAAATATTTGCTGACCACCATACTTTTTAGGATGTCTGTTTTATTTTATTTTTTAATGTTGATCTTGGTATATCGTATTTTGAAGCTGCTTGTATTTGAGTAATTAAATCATTCTTTAAATCTTTTAATGCATTGTCTAACTGTTCTAAAGTATAAGTAACATATTTTCTTCTTCCACGATTTGGTTTGTAATTTTGTGGCATATTTAAACTAAGAACTAAACAAATTTTACTATAATTTTATACTGATTTACTAATACAAACTGTTATACTGATTTTCTATTGCATTACTACTACAAAATTTTTCATTCCAACATAGTAACTACCATAATATCTATAAACGATCACTAAAAAAGGTTTACTCTAATACATGGGGTGACTTTAGCCCGGGCCAATGTCACCCCTATTTAGTTGGCCGAAGACGACCTATTTTTATTTAACCTCAATTACAAAAAAGTAATAAACTGTTAAACTTTCAAAACAAGATCGAATCAAAAACTAATGGTTTAAAATTAATTCAGTGTATATTCCAATAAAAAACCTTCTACATGTACTGCTATTGATGTAAAAGTTTACACACCTAAAAAAATTCGGATTTTAGGTGCTTCTTCTAAAGTGCAATTTACAATAATATTACAAAGACTCGAGTTAAGTAAAGTAAGTTAGACTAAATAAATAATGAATTTCCTACAATTTGCTACTAAACATCAACCGGCATACCTTGAGATATCGGTTTTAAACCATTTTTAAACAAAAATTTTGCTTGGGCTAAAGTCATCCCGTAGGGCCAAAGCCACCCAATCTTACGGTATACTTAACGAATAAAAATTTGTTGTTATAATTATTCTAAACAGAGTTATACTTACATTTTATGAATGCTAGTTAAAAAAAATTTTGAAAATATTGCGTCTCCATTGCATGATTCATCAGATTAGTTTTGTATATAGAAATAATACAGAATGAATTTTTTAAATTTAATGAAAAGTTGTTGTATTTATATATTTATCTGTAAATAAAATTATGAATAAAAGCAAAAAGTATAATTCTTTTACATTTAAGTAACTTAACTGGAACTTCTATATAAATAAGTATACATACAGTATGATACTTATTTGTATAGGTATAACTATTTGTATATTCTATAGTTGAATATTTTATAGCTGTATATATAGTATATAACAAGTCAGTAGATTTGTCTATGTATTGTCTATACATAGACAAATCTACTGACTTGTTTAAATATGATATTTAAACAAGTCAGAAGATTTATTTATGTATTTGTTATAGATTTCGTATGGAAAATAATGTGGCTTTCGTTCTTATTTTGTGTGGTTTTAATGGGATAAACATTATAGCCACATATGGAACGCATCAAAGTCATCCTTTAAAGGAGAGTGGTAAATATATGGTTAACATGCATTTGCCATATATGAACCTCATGAAAATTTCTTGTCGGGATAACCATTTTGAATTTGAGCCATAAGAAATTTTACTTTCTCAAGAAAAGATTGAAGAAGCTTTGCAACGATAGGTCATGACTTAACTGAAATACTACAGTTCTTTTCCATTTCAAATAAAGAATCAAAAATCTAACCTCAGGAATGGAAATTAAAATAATTAAAAAAAAAATTGGAAAGAGCCTTGGTACAGCTTGCAAAGAGGTTCACTGAAATCATTTCCCTAGAGTGAATATTTTATAAAAATTAGAAAATTATATTTAATAAAATTATATTTAATAATATTTAAAAAAAATTAGAGTGAATATTTTATCTCAGTTCTTTTAAAAAAATATCTGGAAACTTCAGACAATAAGTTTTGATGATTTATGTAAAAAGTAACTCTACTGGTAAACATATCATTTTGTGTTTGGTTGAACATGATTATAAAAGTTTTTGGATGCTGCAAATACAAATTAAACCAGATATAAAAAAGAATAAAAATAAAGTAAGCATAACTATTCCCGTCAAAAAAGAAAATCGCAAAATTGACTATGTCAGAAAAAAAAATACTTTTTCATATTAAACTTCTCCAAGATGTTGCAAAATGAGTTTTAAATTTAAATTTGACTAAAACGGTGTATATAAAAAAATCCCGTGCAGTTTTTTAAATGATGTAATGGTGAAAATATGTTGTGCAATTTTGACTGCAAAAATGAGTCATTCAATTTCATTTTATAATGAAATTTACAGATGCAAGAATTACTCTCTTCTACCGGGTAACAATATGGGACATAAAGTATACATCCCATTAAGTTAAAGAAATTTTCAAGCAGGATTCTATCATATTACTAATACAAATATATTTTTTAATATTACAAGATTTATCTTGGAGTACAAGAATAAAGAGATGAGTAATATGTTCAAACGCAGCCAAGGATAATGCAAAATTAATTCCCAATTCAATATAATGTGAATTACGATAATTTTTCGACGGTCAAAAATTTGCTTGAGTAATTTTACCAAAAATAAAGGAAAACACATTTCAATGGCAGCTTCTTAATTATCTTCACATCATCCTATACCAATTGCTAGGTTACGTTTCAGTTTTATGATTTTTGTCGCAAACAAAAGTAGTTTAAATAAAGTTCCTAAAAAAGTAAATGTGTCAGATTATTTTGTGACAACAATGGTCTTGCTTTGTAGAGTAGACCTACATGCTTTGATATTTGCATTTTTATATACGTGGGTTTTCCAAGAGATATTTTCATCAACCAAAATCCCTAAAAGTTTAGTATTTCAATTTCTTTTGATTTTTCATATTTTATTTTTTAATTGCTGGTAGAATTTAGGAGTTTTATTCTTTTATTGATTAAGGTGAAACAGTATGTAGTTTTTTTGTCAAGTGATAATTTATTTGTCTTCAACCAAATGTTTATCTTTTGATTGTTGTTGAGGAGTAGAATAAATTTGTATCACCTGCAAGCATTAAAATGTTAAAGCTGTTTACGACATTTTAAAGGATCTTAATATAAATTCGAAACAAAAGGAGAGCATGCAAAGGCGATTTAAGGAGGATGAGGGGGGGGGGGATAAATTGTCCGAAAAAGGTGATTTTCAAGTCATAGTCAGGTTTTTTTTACGAGTTTATTCGGCTAGACGAGTATCTAACACAATTCAGTTGGTTGAATTTATTTATTTATAATTTAATTCTATTTTCATCTGTAATAACAAACTGTTGTCAGTTATTACGATAATTTTTGAATCATTTTAAGGATTTTGTAACTATGTGCGATTAAGTGCGATTAAGTGCGTTATACTTTTGCGTATTTTTAGTAAAATTTCATGATTGACAGTGCCAAACTCCTTTGACAAGGAAATGCTTTGCTAAGTATCGCTTTGGAAACCTAAACGGCTTCTTTTTATAATTTTGTTAATATTTAAGTATTTATATACTCTGTTGTAGATTATTATTTTAAGACGTTTTGAAAAAACAGAAATAAAATTGACTTATAGTTGTTTAAAGAGTAAGTTTTTCCAAGTTTGTTTAATGAAATTTGTATAATAAAAAAAAAAAAATTCTAAAAATATACAATTTTAGATATTTTTAATTTTTATTGTACAATACCAGTTTTAAGTAATAAACTAAATACTCAGAAAATGAGATTACGGATCTTACCAAAAACATTCCTACTTTACAAGAGATTTCATCAGTGACTGAGGATTTGATTATTTTGAGAGATTTGATATATATTTCGAAATCGTCTTGTTTTAGTTTTTTTAATTTTAAGAAGCAGCGAGAGGATGTTAACTAATTTTCTAAAAAAAATTTTGGGAATCGAATTCAAGATGCAAGATTAGCATCAATGTTGGCAAAGTAGGAGTTGAATTCATTAAAGATATCACTCTTTTCACTTAAAATTTTTTTCATTAATTGTCATTGTAGAAGACATTTTGTTAGAATTAACTTAATTTTTATTAATTATTTCCTTCATAATGCCCCGTGTTTATCTTTATTTAATTTTCGTATTAGTCTAAAATAACAAGATTTTTTAGATATGTTTTTTATTTGTTTAAATAAATTTTTGTTTGTAAAAAAAAAGTTAGCTTCAGTTCTAATTTTTAGGTTCCGTAAAGTTTTTGCTTTTTTTTTAAGGATTTTTTTATTTTTTTTGTGATCCGTGGACAATTTAAATATTTTGCTTATTTCTTATTTTTTTTTTAAATCAAAAAACTTTTATGAAATTAGAAAGTATTTGTAAAGATATTGATAGCGGATTTTGTGTTTCCAAGTGTTTCCTCGGTCTCACTACCTCTTCCGAAATCAATGGCGATTGCAAGTTCTTAAATGTCTGAGTAGAAAACTTATCAACAATTCTTTTAAAACATAATATTTTTGAATTTTCAATTTTTGTAGCAACTTGTGACAAAGAAAAAAATCCAAGATATTCGTTTTAATTATTCCTGATTTTAGAGAATTGTTATGTATGGAATTAATATAATGTCCATAGAAGTGATTTTAGAGAAGTATTATAAATGGAATTAACATACTTTCAATAGAAATAATGAAGTTAAATTTACCCTGGTCGGTTTGTTAATGATAAAAAATACACGGACCTGAAGCGAATTGTAAAATAAGTATTCATATGTTTGTTGTTTGATCTTTAATCTGTAAGTTTTGCATCTCTTTTAGGCCTACAAAAAAAAAAAAAGTAACCTCCAGAATACATTTTTACAAT